TGCCGGGCCGCAGGAGCTGAGCACAATCCCTTTGAACCTGCACCAGGAGAAAGGCAGGAAAAAGGGGGTAGGAGAGGACAACCAGCTGTCCCCAAGGTCGTCTTAGTAGAGAGCGGGGAAGGGACAGAGACTCCTCTCCGAAGACTCTTGAGCCCTTGTTCCCATAGGACAGTTTCACTCTGGGCCAGGCTCTTCCCAGCTGGTTAGCCTCTGTGATCAGATGCAGACTCTTCCATCTCATGGGGATGCGTCTAGCTAAAGGCAGCCTGTATATACTTCCCTATGTGGTGTTCCAGTAACAGGCGATGTGTATGAACATTGTCTCCTGCCCAGGGGAAGGCTCGACTTGAGCTCACTCACATTGATCTAAGTGGGACCTGGTGGTAAAAAATAGTTTGGAGAACCAGGGGAGCCAACATCTGGGTAAGGTGGTGAGGGGCCTGGCTCCGTGCTCTTGGAAAGGGTGAAGCATCAGGCAGAAGGGGCGGGGCCAAGGTAGTCATCCTTCAGAGCTGCTCCAAGCATGGCGTATCCCCCCCAGTCCTCAGAGCTGCATGGTATGCACCTCTCAGGGCTCCAGCGGTGATTTAAAGGGCCCGGGACTCCAGCCACCGCTGCTGCTACTGTAACTGTGGCAGCGACTGGGAGCTCCTTGCTGCTTTGAATTACCAGGCCCCAGGGCAACTGCCCTCTCTGCCCCTCCTCCCACCCCCAGTCAATGCTGCTGTCTTAATCTAGCAATAGACTCTTCTGCCATGTTTTCCACATGCGGAACTGGCACATTCCCGTGGGGTGAGTTACAAACACCCCCTGCCACTGAAGGAGGCTTCTCAGTTCAGTTCCTGCCCTATGGGAGTAGGGTTGTCAGGTGTCCGGTATCCTACCGGACAGTCCGGGATTTGAGCCCTCTGCCTGGTAAAAAAAAAAATCAGACAATACTGGACACGTGCAGTGTCCGGAAGCCTGACGTGGGCGGCCCCGCCGCTGCCAGGCTTGTGCGCAATCACAGGCTCCCAGCGGCATTTGCAGCCCCGCCTCCCAGCTGGGAGTTCCAGCTGGGAGGCAGGGCCACAATTGCCACTGGGAGCCTCTGGTCACATCAGAAGCCTGGCAGGGGTAGGGGGAGTGGGTGGGAGTTCCAGTCACTCCCCTCTGCCCTCGCCAGGCTTCTGTGCAATCACAGGCTCCCAGTGCCAATCGTGGCCCCGTTTTCCGTTCCTTTTTTTTTTTTTTTTGCTTGACCAAAAAATACAGGGTGTCTGGTATTTTTTGGGAGACCATCTGACAAACCTATGTGGGAGCACATACCCAATCAGATGGGGGAAGAGATCCCAGTTCCCATTGCAGCCCACAGGAGATGGGTGTGTCCCCCGAGAGCATTTTCAGCTTCTGCAGTTTGATTGAGAGTCTTCCTCACATTTGGAATCTCCTAAATACCCAGCTCCTGGTATCAAGTGACACCGCGAGAATCTCCGCTCCTGACACTTAAAAGTAAGCGTTGAGCCCAGCGGGTCGTGGAGAAGAAATGGAAGCTGTGCTGTGAGTGCATCCTAAAGGCTTTAAAACAGATAACAAAACCTCAGTCTATTGTTTGTTTTTCGGAAAGCTCATGCTTATAAGGCCAAGCTCATGGTTTTTGGTTTGTCTGGTGGCGTGCCTACAATGCTGAACTGACATCAGGGCTGAATTTCTTTCATGGAAACTCTTTAGTTTCCCAATAAACTGAATTCTTGATCTGCTGCCACGTCTGGGTTTAGACATTCCCAGGGAAATGAGGCCTGGTCTCATGAATTTTTAGCGTCTTAGATTCAGTAACAATGTTATATGTGCAGAACCCTTGTGCAAGCCAGGGATGGCTTTTGCCACTTCATCTTAAATTGGCTCCATTCCCTTTTTTGTTCTGTCTTCCCATTGGGCATTTGCCATCAAGTTGCCTTGTGCTGTAGTGAGAAGAGCCAGACAAGAATCCTCTCTTGAGAATGATAGGAATGCTTCACCTGGCTGGGAAAAAGGCTTCTCCCAGTAAGCCCCTCCTTCATCTTTTACTTCCCTAATTGAATTAGTCTTCATAGACACAGTGATTCATTGTTCCAGAACTTAGGTTCTTATGTACCAGTGTGAGGAAATCTTCATGACTAATGATGATAAAGGAGCTGAAGTGAAATGTGCTATTCCACCTACCGCTTTCCCTCCTCTTTAGCGCGGCCTGTGGAGCATCCTGATTTCAAGCTTTAGAAGGCCTCTTTTCCAAGGTTCAGATTTTGCCCTCCTTATATCTCTTGGACAACTATGCTGGCACACCTCTAGAGGGACAAGCGAGGTTCGATTTGCAAATGGTCTGCATGTTCTGTTGTGCTTTGGATTTTTCTCCCCCTCTGATTTTCAGCTTGGTGTCAAGGTACTGAGAAATCTTTATTCGGTTGCAAATAAAATTCTTGCCATTTTTCCCAGCGGATATGAACATCGACTGGCATTTTCAATGCCACCAGAGGATTTTAGGGAGAGAGTTCCCAGGTGTGTATAAGGTTGGCTGGAATTCTCGGTTGCGATAGATATTGAGGTGTCAGGAATTCGTTTTGATGCCACATCGGTATGAAACTGAGACTTTTTGAAATTTTTCATGACAGAGAGAGGCCCCCAGGAGCCACCCAAGAATAGCCAATAGCCCAGAGCAAGGACTTGTATCTGGGTCACCCATATCCTGTCATTGGGCTATTGGCTACTCAGATGTCTCCCTCCTTTTTCTGACCGGAAATTTCATCCTGGACCTAAGAAGCCATCCTGACAAAAGTGCCATTCAAACTGACATGTTCTGGCAAAATTTCAGTGTCAACTGTATTGTAAAAGCAAAATATTTTAGCTAAAAATTCCCAGCCCTAATTGTGTGTTGAAATCCCCCTTTGGCTTTGAAATCTCATCTTTGGGCTTCTAAAGTTGCCAAGGATGCTCATCCTCTTATTCCTGTACTTAAGTTTACTGTGAAGCTCTACATTCTTCCACACACTCATCCATATCACACTACTCACAGAGCAGTCGGCCCACAGGAGCAATTTCTCTGCCATGGAAACTGTTTTATTTATTTTTTAGCAAACACTTTCAGCCCTTTTTCTTTGGGAAGCAGTTAGCTTGTTCCTGATCAAAAGCTGCCTCACTGCATCATTCTGGGGTCTGGGGTAGCTATTGCTAGATAAAAGTGCATGAACTAATGTCACCATGGGTGGCCGGTGATGTAGACAAAGGAAGGCACAGCCTTCTCAAAACTGCCCATATGCCAGGCTGCTGGGGACAGCTGGGGCCGCTTCCCCTGCCACCTCAGTCCTCCAGGTGGCCAGGAAGGACCAGGCTGTGGGTGGGTGGGGCTTGGCTCTAAGGGTGGAGCCTCGGGTGGAAGGGGCGAGGTTGAATGTTCACCTGCCGCCCATGAACGTCATGCACATTCCTGTTGAATGCTCAGACAAGGCTTTTGGGTGAGTATTCAGAAAACAGGCTAGCTACTAGCTACTGTCTTCCAGGCGTCACGATGAATGATTTGATAAACTGTAATGATAAAGGGGGAAAGTTCATTAACAAGAGACATTTTTGAGTCTACACTGAACAATTTAAAGCACTGTCGCGACAACGCTTTAAACAGAACACGTTGCCACGGCGCAAGCACTGGGAGCAGGGGAGCCGACAGCAGAAAACAGGCTAGCTACTAGCTACTGTCTTCCAGGCGTCACGATGAATGATTTGATAAACTGTAATGATAAAGGGGGAAAGTTCATTAACAAGAGACATTTTTGAGTCTACACTGAACAATTTAAAGCACTGTCGCGACAACGCTTTAAACAGAACACGTTGCCACGGCGCAAGCACTGGGAGCAGGGGAGCCGACAGCCTGCGTGTGCTATGGTGCTCTGACAGTTAAGGGTCCAGGACTCCAGTCCCCACTGCAATAGCATCAGCAGCCAGGACCCATAAGCCCCGTAGAACTACGGGGCCCTGGGGTAATGGCCCCTTTACTCCCCTCCCCACCCTGTTGAAGGGCCTGGCTGCGAGAGAGCTCTCCCAGCCCTCTATGTAATCCACTTCTGTGAGGGGAGTAGCTCCAGCACAGTAGCCTAGTCCACACTGGCGCTTTACAGCACGGTAACTTGCTGCACTGGGGCGGGGCTGGGAAGGGGGGAGGGGAAGGTGGGTTTCACACCCCCAAACCAGAAAGTTACAGCGCTGTGAAGTGCCAGTGTAGACTTGGCCTGAGTAACTACTAGTATGACTTTGTGATAAGGATGTTAAGTATCAGGTAATTGACTAATCAAATAGTCAATGCATTTTTGCATCGACTATTCGATTAGTCGGTAGGGCGCCTCCCCTTTTGAAGTGTAGCAACAGCTCTAGGTGAAAGCACCAAAGCCCGGGGTTAGTGGGGGGGGGGGAGGGGACTCCTCTGCTGCCCCCAGGCTCCATGTGGCGCTGCCGCTTTGAAGTACCCCGCTCTGCTCCCTCCCCCCCTTGCTGCCTCTATTTGATAGAAGCAGCAAGGGGGGGCAGAAGCGATGAGTCGACTATCCTGTCGACTATCCAAGAAGCATTTGCTTATCGGATAATCGACTAGTCGTTCAAATCCCTTCTTTGTGAGCGCTGCCATTTCTGGAGAGAGGCTGCCGCTGAAATGTTTAGATTCCATCTGGAGTAGGCTGCTTTCTGCATCCTGCTTGTGCAGTGGAATGTCCAGAGAGCTTCAGATTGAAGTATCGTTTTAATTCCTTTCTACTGTTAGCCATTATATCAGCAACACAGAGCGAGAGAGAAAAGTGAGGAGAGGGGGGGAAAGGTTTCCAAAACCGCATCGGAACTTTGGCAAAGCTCACAAGGATACCCACAGTGGCATCGTGTTAGGCTGTTCGAGACAGTCCAAGTCTTTCCGGTCTCGGCGGCCTCCAACAAAGGCCTTTGGTTGCAACCCTTGCACTTCTATAAAAGCCGTTAAGCCCTAACGTCTAACGTTTTTGTGCTTCTAGGCGTTCGGATGTTAGATGGCGATGTGACCGATGTTGTTGAAGCAAAGTCGCTTGGCATCAGACCCGATTACATTGATATTTACAGCGCAAGCTGGGGGCCAGATGATGATGGGAGGACGGTGGATGGACCCGGTGAATTGGCCAAACAGGCTTTTGAGTACGGCATTAAAAAGGTGCGGATGATAGAGTACTTTGGAGATGCTGATTATTTTTTCCCTTTTGCTTCATATGAAATTTGTGTGTGTGTGTGTGTGTGTGTGTGTGCGCGCGCGCGGTGGCCAAGGGCAGAGGTAAGAAAGTCAAGGTCAAGAGAATCGTCTTAAGAGAATGACCTTGCCTTGTCTATGCCTGACTACCACACAGAGAACTGCACTGGGGTTGAATTATGTCCAATTTTTCCTGGTGTACACAAGGCCAAGGTGACTTCGGAACACTGTCTCCACATCTGGCATCCCTAGAAACTAGAAATGGTCTTTAGTTGCAAGGCTCAGATGCTGCCTTGCATCAAAATTTGAGCCCTCTTTACCCTTCCCCATCCTGACCTGCAAATTATGGGGGCATTCTAGGTCTTGACTTGGGCCCAATTGGCTTGGTGACAAATAAACAGGAATGATTCTAACCACACTCAGCTCAACAATGCATGGCAAGCTCTTTGGGAGGCTTTATAAAATACACTCAGCACAGATGTTCTAGACACACACAAGGCATTACAAATAAAATAAAAGGCTCCCCTCGGTGCACTGTTCAACACCAACCTGAACAAGCACTTACTTCTCTGTGCTAGGGAAATCCCTGAGAGAACAGATGGGGCCAGAGCTCAGAGCAGACTCGAGTCTAATTTGAAATCCTAGACTGGAAGCTACATCCAGTCCATAAATCAAAAAGTATTTGAAGGGAGCTCATTTTTTATTATGAATTAGTTTTATTCTCCTGGGGGCTGCGGGGAGGGGAAATCTCTTGCTGTTGTGCTGAGACGGGGATGGGGAATCTCTTTGCTGTAGCGCTGAGACGGGGAGGGGGAATCTCTCACTGGCCCTAAACCGCTCCAGCTGGCCTCTTCCTGTCTAGCCCCGGCTCCGGGCCTGAGTCCTGGTCTTAAAGGGCCAGTGCAGGGCAGGCGCCCTGTCACAGAGATGTTTAAATAAGGAATGTCAATGTGTAGACGACTACACGATTAACCAATAAGCCTGAGCTTATCGGTTAATCTTGTCTGCACACATTTCCTCCGCTGCTGTCTCTGTATCAGAGGCAGCCAGCAGGAGAGGGAGGGGAAGCCTGTGTCCGTGAGGAGTTGACTTAAAAGCCAGCTTCTCATGAGCACCATATCTGCTTGGCCTCCCACCCCTGCACTGCTGCCTCTGATGGAGAGGCAGCAGCATGGAGGGTGAGGGGTGCAGGCGGGCGTCAATACACATGGGGAGTTGGCTTTCAAGCAGGCTCCGCTGCATGCTGGTTTCGCAGACCCACCGGCTCCCCACCCCCTTGCTGCCTCTTACAGAGGCAGGGGAGAAAAGGCAGGCACTGATGCTGGGGAGAGCAGTGCCACCTGTTCCCATCCCCCACACTGCGGTGCCTCTGGGTCCAGCTTGTGTCCTGTCCATGCACTATGGAAGATAGTGCCAGGGCTAGAGACCAGATCATATCACGTGTCCAAAACTGGAAAAAACTTAGACCAGGTCCACACTACAGAGGAAGATCGGCATAAGGTGTGCAGTTCCAGATATATAAAGATGTAGCTGGAGTTGACGTACCTTAAGCTGAGCTTCTGCACTCTCCTCATAGAGGGAGGTTGTTGGGACAAACACTCCTGTCAATTTCCCTTACTCCTCATGAGGAGTAGGAGTACCAGTGCCGATGAGGGCGCCTCGGTGATCGATTTAGCGAGTCTTTGCTAGACCTGCTAAATCGAATGCTGGAAGATTGACCACCACAGCGTCTATCTTCCCACAAGTGGAAACGTGGCCTAAGATGGCGGTGAAAGGACATGAGAAGTAGAAGAAAGCAATGCCATTGTATTTCCTTATTCTCTCTGCTGTTGCTAATACAGCCTGACATCTTAGAGCCTTTTGAACGGGCCATGGGGCTGGTTTTTCTCTTCTGGGCTGTCACCACTGGTCAGGATCCATTAATACGGAGCAGTAGTTTGAAGGAGTGATGGATCGTGGCCTTTGGTTTAGGTGCAGGCCCCTCCCCAGATTTTGGAAATGTTGAGAGCATTGTGATCTATCCTGTAGGAGTACAAACCCACAGACAGACCCAGATGCTGCTCTGAGGAGTTCCTGATTGGCTGAGGGTTGTGCACAAAGACCAAGAGTGAGGCATGAGGGAATCAAAAGAGTTGAAGGCAGATCCTTCAACAGAGGGGCCGACAGGCTCACTGGGCCCCTAGGTGGGGTAGAGAGGGGAGCCAGCTCTGCCCCTTAAAGGGGCAGGGCTTTAGGCAGAAGGAGCGGAGCTGGGGCTCGTCTCCCCAGGCAGCCCTCAACACTGCCCTGAGCAGGCCATATGGGGCTCTGGCAGTGATATAAAGGTTTCAGGGAGGCGGCCAGGAGAGCTGGGCCCTTTTGAATCACTGGGCCCCAGGACAATTGCTCCTTTTGCCCTTCCTACTTTTGGTGGGCCTGGCCTTGAAAGGTGAGGTTTGCAGATTAAAGCATATTTTGACAGATGAACCCCCATCTCCTGGGAGGATGTTGTATGAAAAACCAGCTCCTTCCGGGCTGAGTTTCTAGAGGAGGCCCTATTGCAGCCTTTTTATGACAACTACACAGGGCAAAAGACCTTTCTTAGCACCCTTCAGAAATCTATCCCTCTGCACCATCTCCGTGGCAGGGGTAAATAATTCTGTACCCAAGACTTTCACAAACATGTGCCGTTTCTGTCCCCGGAAGGAGCAGAGATGAGGGAGCGGGGTAGGATGTTTTGGTTGGGATTAGTTGCAGCTTCTTGAAATACTCAAGCTGGTTGTTTGGTTCCTTTAGTCCCCTGAGGAGGAAAAGAGGCTCCCTGGGGAATCTTACACTGCAGAGGTCCAAATCTGGTCTTGAGAAATCTCCTGGGTTTTTGTGAGGACAAATCCTTACGTTGGCATTTTGCCTCCTTTTTCTTTTTGCAACTTTAGATGGGGGGGGGGGCTGTTTTGGCATAAACCCTCTCCAATGGGCTATCATGATAATGTAGTTCAGACCACTGGAAAATTCAGCACCGTTGCGAGGGATCAGACACTGCTGCAGTAAAACAGACAGACAATCTCTCTTAGAGCGTGGAATAATAGAGTTAGCATCCTACTGCTTATTTTATCCTTAGTAACATGCACTCAGTATGACCCCTAGCCCAAGGAATATGCATTTTAAGCCTAAATTGGTTGTGGGACACAAAGCCAAAAGACATAAGCCCATCAAAATAGAGACACGCAAAGCTGAAGGTCCGAAGTCGATGCTCTATGTATCAGAGGAAGCTGCGGCTCTACACCAGTGGTTTTCAAACTAGGACTGGGTCAAGGAATGTCGGGCGCTGGGTCTCATTGCTGCAGGGGGTTCAGGTGTGACCACGGGGGGTGCTTAGGCAGGATTGTGCTGCACCCCAGAAGCAGCTGGCAGCAGGCCTGGCTCCTAAGTGGGGGATGGGGGGAAGAGTGCACAGGGCTCCACACGCTGCCCCTGCACCGAACACTTGCTCCACACTCCCATTGGCTGGGAACCTGCTGCTGGATGCTTCTGGGTCACAGATTGTCTGCGGTGCCAGGAGAGGCAGGAAGCTGCCTTAGCCCCCTTGCTGCTCCTCCTGCCTCAGACCTGATCCTCCCCCCGAAAGCCAGAGCCCCCTCCTACACCCCAAAGCTCTCCTTCTCGGCCCCACCTTGGAGCCCACACTCGAGTCAAATTATGTTGGGTCGCAGGCATCAACAATTTTCGTCAACTGGGTCATATGAAGAAAAAAGTTTGAAACCCGCTGCCCTAGTGTTTAGAGTATTGGTCTCTGTTGGGACACATGGTGTCCTGTTGCCAGTTTTGTTAGCTGAGTCACTCTGTGACACAAAGCACATTTCGCCATCTTGATGTGCCCTGGCTCCCCATCTGTACCATCAGGAGAACAGCTCCTAAGTTTCATAACACTTGTGCAATTTTGCGGTCCAAGCGATCCATAGTTGCCAGATGTCATGACCAAAACAAGGACTGTTGCAAGAGGCACTTTGCATGCATTCCCTACAATGTTAATGGCACCTAAAAATAGGGTGGGGTGTTTATTCCCTCTTTAATTTCCTGTTTAGGGAAGTTAGTTTGCAGAGAAGAGTTCCTACATTGTAAGTGCACAGATACGAGGACAGAGGGCTGACTCTGAGTTTCCCCCACCCCCAGGGTTCACTGCCGTTTGTCCCTTTGGGGCGACGGGAGACAAATTGGGGTGGAAAAAACAGGGAGGGGAATTCACCACTAGAGGAACTTACCAAGGGGTGGCCTTCATTGCGAACTCAAGTCAGTGTGTCTTTTTAGAGGAGACGCTGCAGCTCAGCCCAAAGATATGGGCTTGGTGCCAAAACAGCGGGGTGGGAGGCTCTGGCCTGTTGTTCAGGAGGTCAGGCTGGGTAATTGCCTGAAAATCTAGAATCGATGATTCAGGAGGCTGGGGGAGTAAGGGTGTATTCATGAAGGCTGCCTCCGTTTGCTTTCCCCTGCATCGCCATTCCTGCAAAAGCTGTGCTGCCATTGACTGGGTTATCCCTGTCACTATAGTAATGCCCCCCCAAATTTCTACTGGGAGATCCAGTGAGTACACAGGGGCAGGGAGCCTGGGAGCACGGCTAATCTCTGTCTCCCCCTGCCAGCAGCCCTGGCTTTCAAAGCTGGAGGGAGGCCAGCTGGAGAAAGGCATTTCCGAGGGATGTGGGGAACAATCTCTACCCCTTTCTTGATTCTAGTGCAGCAGGATGAAAAGTCTCCTGTGACCCCTTTGGGGACAATCCAGCCCTTTACTGTGTATTTGCAACCAGTCTGGAGTGCCACAAAGCACCTTGGAGCAGGAAACTTTTTTCCCTACTTGCATACATTTTAATGGCTAAGTACATCTTTTTAAATGAGTGAAGAAAGCCCTTAATTGGTTGGTCCGCGGTAACCTTTAGCCCGTGCAAACGGCTGCAGCTGAGTTATAAATCTTTACAATCGAATCTTAATAG